TGTTGATGGGATCTGGATTGGGATTGCATTGAATGCATAGATTGCTTTGGGTAGAACTGACATTTTCACAATGTTCAATCTTCCTATCCATAAGCATGGGATGTTCTTCCATTTATGTAGATGTCTTATAGTTTCTTGAAGTAGCTTTTTATAGTTTTCTCTGTAGAGGTCTTTTGTGTCCCTGGTAAGATTTATTCCCAAGTATTTTATTTTTTTGGTAGCTATTGTAAACAGTATTGATTTCCTTGAAACAACATTTTTAAATTACCATATAGTTACGATTTCTAGGTACCATGGTTTTTGTTTGTTTTTTTGTTTTTTAATTACTGAAGTTTTTGACAATAAAGTACTCATTATCTAAACATCTAATTTTTTTTGGCTTACTTCTGTATACTCACGCTGCCTAATTCTATAATATATACCACAGCCTTTCCCAAAGATTGTTTATAGCTTTTTTAAAAAAAATAGTTTATTGTCTTTCAGATTATAAAAGCTTTACAGCAGAAAATACATTATAGCACAATATAAGGGAAAAAAAATAACCCATGATTCCACTAAGCAGAGAAACATTTTGTGTTATTTTCTTTTCAGTCTTTTTTCTATGCATGCATATATTTATTTCCAAATGGTTGCCAATTTTTAAAGTAGTAAATTTTGCAAACAGTAGTTTGTATCACCAGCTCAGTAGTTGAATGTTTTACTTCATTTACTTTTTCAAAACATTCATTCAGATGTGGCACAGATTTCTTATTTTCCTTACTGAGCTGCTGCTGTTATTAGTTGAATAGCCATCCTCCCATCCACTGCTTATTTTATAACTCTGATGTGCTTTGATTGCATTGCCTGTGTCTTCAGCAAGCTTTGAAATAATGCCCATAAAATACCAATCAAGTTAAAGTCACAGATAGTCCCAGAATTAAAATATTTCCCTTTTTTACACTTTTTCTTTTCTCAGAGAAAAAACTTGGTAAACTTTGCCAAGATCCCCATTCTAATCTTCAGCTTACGTAAGGTAAATATGTTGGTTTGTTAATGCATTTTTACATTGCTGCTTTAGTTAGAACTTACGGTGACTTATTTCAGCCTATAGCAAAGAGGTTAGAAATCTCTCCCTAAAAAATTTCGGAGCCAACCTAAATCTTACTGTAAAAATACATTCAGGAAAATGGAAATTCTTACTGCAATTTATTCGTGCTGAATGCAGACTAAAATGTAATGGTTCTTGGTTATTATTTTGCAGACCTCAAAGGAAGATCTTCTGCAAGCTGATTTTGAAGGTGCTTTAAAGTTCTTCAGAGTTCAGCTTCCTAAGAGATACAGGGCAGAGGAAAATGCAAGAAGATTGATGGAGCAGGCATGCAACATTAAGGTAAGATACGTGAATTTATATATAATAAAGGTGGAATGTGAATGCAGAAAAACATGGCAAATTATGTAAAAGCTTTCCTCTGTATATGTTGCTGGGTTTTGACTGTGTTTAAGCAACACTGTGTATGAACTATGTTCTGGCATATTTTTCTAACAGGCTGTATGTATCCTAGCTGTACCTTCTAGCAGGATTTAGAGTGAAAATCGACAGGTTCAGATTGAAATAATAGAAAGATAAACACTTATCCTATAGGTGGGATTCTAGAATGAGCTGCTGTGATAGTGGTTTCCATAGCAGCAGACTTAGTGTTTATTTAGCTTTTGCCATCTGTTTTAAAATTATTGAGGACAAAGCAAGAAAGAAACCTGCTTGGGCACTGATTTCCTTTCTCTAAGAGACTTGGAGCACTTTGAGTCTTGATTTGCACATTCTCATCCCACACCTGCCAAATGTCGGTGGACACATTGGTCCTTGTGATATGTCTGATAAAACTAAGCACATTTTATAAGCTAATTTGAAATTGAGATATGCAGAAAGTTGCACTCGTAAAGTTAGCATATTTAAAAAAAAAATGGAACAGATTTACTGATGTTAATTCTTGTACCTCTGGAATATACTAGATAATCATCTTACTTTACTGTGACCTTAATATAGATTTGTTTTTTGAATGAAACAGAAAAAGATCTCAGCTCTTATGGACTTTACAGTCTTGCAGAAGGAAACAGACAAGCAATAAACAAATAAAGAATATACTTAGAAGATGATAAGTAGCTATGAAAAGAACAAATGTAGGACATATTAAGGGAGATTGGATTTGTGGAGGGAGGGAAGGTTGCAGTTGTTTGTTCATAGTCAAAGTAGACCTCACTAAGAAGGTAAAGAGATTGGGGCGGGAGGACATGTTAGTCTTGGAGATGTGTGTATTCCAAGCAGAGGCAACAGCCAGTTCAAAGGCCCTGAAGCTGTCTCATGCCTAGCAAGTTTGAAGAATAGTTAGATTCAGTGTAGCCAGGGTTAAGAGAATGAATTGGAGAGAGTAGGAGAAGAGGTTCACCAGTTTACAAGGAGCAGGAAAATATAAGCCGTTATAAGGGTTTAAACTTTACTTTAAGATATGGAAAACCATTGCAGGGTTTTGAATGGAGGAATGGTATTATCTGCCTGATGCTTTTAGAGAATTAGGAAGGCCATTATGTTGAGAACAGATCATAGGATGATAAGAGCAGAGGCAAGGAGACAAGATAGGAGACTTTTGCCATAATCCTGTTGAAAGATGATAATAGATTGAACCAGGGTGATAGCAAAGAGATGATAGGAATTGAATATAATTTGAAATGTGTTCATATTAGACGTGGTTGTAAAAGGAAAAGAAAAGTCAAAATATTAATTAGGGTTTTGGACTAAGCAGCTACATGATAGAGTTGACATTGACTTGTTAAACTCCTAAAATGTACTTTGATACACACTTCATTTAGTCACCATCTCTACTGTAAAATATTTGTGTATATTTGATATAACAGGAGCTCTGGGGGCCTAGTGCCTAAGGCATTAGACTGCTAACCAGAAGGCTGGCAGTTCAAACCCACCAGCCACTCCTTGGAAGGAAGATTGGGCAATCTACCTCATAGTGATACCACTTCGGAAACCCAAGGAGGGGTCGTTATGAGTCAGATCTGACTCGATGGCAGTGTGTTTGGTTTGTTTATTTGACGTATCACTTTTAATTTGAATATAATCTATTTTAAGGTAATTTATAAACGTTAAAAAGTACAATTCAATGCTGAAAGTAAATAACCTGAGAAGAAAAATTATATTATCTTTCAAAGGAACTATATCTTCAAAGATATAATTTTCCAAAGATATCAAGAAAGGTAGGCCTCTGAAGTCTTCATCCTGAAATGCAAATTCTTTAAAACCTTCAGGACTGATTATTTTATTTGGCAGTGCCAAATAAGTAAGCCTAAGCCACATTTGTCTGCAGACTTTGAAAATGCATTCCAGTGGTATGGTGTCTTTGATTGAATCTTGTGGGTGATAAATTTGAAAGGTAAACTTCAGCCAGCTGATTTTCTCTAGAGCTGCTAAAGAAAAATACTGTGAAGTGGGGCAGTGCTATAGGAATCCATTAAAATTAAACACTTAATTTTAAGAATGAAAACAATAGGTACAGGTAAGGTGAAAAATTAAATGTTTTCAAAAGAAATTTAATAGCACAGGCAAGTATCAAAGATGAAAATCCCGAGAAAATGATCCAAAGGTTGTGAAACTTACAGAGGAAGAATTTTTCCCAGTAGAATTTATGAAGTTCCTTGGAGGATAGAGGTAGCTAGTAACTGCCAAGCCAGAAATATGAAATTTAAGAGATGCAGAAACATAAAATGTTAGAAAATGAGTTCAGAATATGCTATGAGTGGACTGATCCAGGCATGGAGATGCTTTGTGCAACCAGAATGATTTATTTGGACATGAGCAAGTAGAAATGAATATTCAAAAGAGAGTAAATAATAATAATGTGTTTGGTTTTAGTTTAGTTTTTGTTTTTATAACCTAAGGAAAGTACCTTTTTCTAGACATTGAAAGCAATATTCATAGGATACAATTTTGATTTATATGGTTGTGGAGTGTGTTATTGTGAGGTGGATATGAGTTGAAATTGAGAGAAGGAAAACATAAGTCATATAGTACTCAGGATTGTAGTGGGATTAGAACACTGGTCTCTGGCCCAAAAGTTTAAAACAATTTTTAAGCTGAGACTTAATTTTTAATGGCTATTATATCAAGACTTTGACCACACATGTATACATATAGATAAGAATCTGAAGAGATACTTACCCTTACAGGGACCAGGTTTGCTGGCCCGATAGAGCCTGGTGGAACCACTGAGACTATGGCCCCTAGCTGCCCTTCAGGTCTGGAATTGGACGCACCCCTGTGGCTTCCCGCCAATAATAGACAGGCATATGAGTTGAACATTTACCTGAAGTAGATACACTCCTTGGACAGAACAAGCATGGGAGAAAGAAGGGCTGCTTATGCACAGGGAGACAGCTCAGGGGGCAGGAGTGCATGGAGGGATGGACACAGGGAAGAGGTAACTATTGGGAGGAAGTAGGAGGGGAGCTGTTGCATTGTGGTAAATTGTGGTCACTGTCATGAGACAAAGTGTATGTGATCTGCTGTATGGAAAGTGTATTTGCTCTGTGAATTTTCACCCAAATCACAATAAAAAGAAAAAAAAAAAAAAAGAGATACCCTTACAATGAATGATATACTCTGATGTTTGCTAGTCTATTTTCTTATATTCTATTTAATTTTTTTTTTAACTTTTTAATTGCAATTTGGGTGAAATTTAACAAAGAAGATTCGTTTCACGGTTCATAAACATTTTGTTTTGTGATACTGATTACATTCCCTGCATTGTAACAGCTTTCTTCCCACTTCCTCTCTGTGGTTACCCCTTCCCTGTGTCCTTCTTTCCTATGCATTCCTGCCTCCCTACCTTTCTCCCTGTGCAAATACTGACTGCCCTTCTGATCTCCCATGGTTGATTGTTCTAAGGCATACATCACCCTGGTGTAGTTGTTTGGCTGGTGGGCCTAGCTATTCTTTGGCTAAGAGTTAAGCCACAGGAGTGAGTTCACTTCCAGACCCAAAGGATGGCTCAGGACTATTGTCTTGGGGATTCTACCAGTCTCTGTCCAACCAGTAAACCTGATCTTTCTTACATTTTTTTTTAAATCTTGTACCACATTTTTTCTCTCACTTTCCCCAGGATCTCCAATTTTGATCACTTTCCAAGTGGCTGGCATTGGTAGCCAGGCACTATCTAGTTCTTCTGGTCTCAGGGTCATATAGGCTGAGGTTCTCATGGTCCATTAGTCGTTTGGACTAATTGTTTCCATGCATCTTTGATTTTCTTCACTCCTCTTTGCTCCAAACAAGAAGAGAACAATAGTTGCATCTTAGATGGCCTCTCACAAGCTTTCAAGACCCCAGTTGCTAGTCACTAGAGTAAGATGTGGAACAATATTTTTATATACTGTGTTGTGCCAGTTGAGCTTAACATCCCCCATGACCATCGTCCCCCGTCTGCAGGCCCAGTGACTCACTCTCTCAAGGTGATTAGATTGCTAAGAAGTTATTCTAATTTTGTTCCTTGTTAGCTTTAAACTGCATATGGACATTGGTATAGTGAATATGAACATTTGTATAGTACATACAAATACATATGTAGGAATATCATCTGTCAAAGCTATGTATGGTCATGGGTACACTCACATTTGCCTGATCTTCTTGCCTGTCCACCTATGTATGCTCCCATAGATTAGTGTTTGCTATTACTGATAGTATTCTATTTCATTTTAAATTTCTTCATGCACCCCCAAGAACCCTGAAACCAAAAACTTATCACAACACACTAAATAAGTTTTATACTGGCTTGCTGTTTTGAAGAAACTGTAGGGCCTACCTCTCCCTTCCCCATTCCTATAAGCTGCAACCAAAAGAGTCTCTGGAGGATGAGGTGTTACAATGAATAATGAAAGCAGGAACGTGGGTGAGAACATGAGTCATGATGCCCTCCTTGCAGTGTCATATGCCAGTAATCAGCAACTTTAGAAGATGAAGGATGTATAAATTGAAGTTCTGTGGTAGACAGTGTTCATGCGAAGGTGACTGCAGGCATGGCAATAGGTAGAGAAATTGAGTGCACAATTTTTCTCCACAGTCTGTTTAAGATTAAATACAGAAATTCTGTCAAAAATAATGAAGTATTTTTAAAATTTTAAGTATTTTCAAAGTTGGTGTCTTTATGTATAGTTTTCATATGTTTGAATAAACTTGTTGTCATCTAATTACCCAACAAAATGAATCATTTTCTTCTAACTTTAAGGAACTTGGTGAATAGTGATTTCAATGAAATGGCTCGTTTTACAATAGACGCAGCAGTTGTAGGTACAAAATAATTTGTTAGAGATATTTGGTATACATGGTCTAAGGAG